GGTCTCTTCCCCGTTTAGAAGCAGCCTCAACTCTGCCGCTGTGTGGCAGTGCGGAAAAAGAACATGGAAAAAAAAAATCACTAATCAGTGAAAAAAATTACTCAACAATGTGCAGCTCGCACCACCAGGCAGGGAAGCCCCCGCTCCGCACTGTGGGGTCGATTTTACAAACAGCCATTTGCACCTTCTGACCCCCCCCACCAGAAATTTGTCCCAGTGGAGGAGATGGTGTTGAAGCCTAGAAGCTATAAAGAAGCCTATAAAGAAGCCAGTGTTGAAGCCTGGAAGCTGTAAAGAAGCCTGTAAAGAAGCCGGTGTTGAAGCCTAGAAGTGTGCCCAGAAGCCCAAAGATGCCTCTTTAGATTCAGGCCTAAGCAGGGAGGGCAGTGCCAGGATGGTTTTGGAGACACCTGAAGTTGGTCAAGATCAGAGTCACGGGGCTCTGCAGCTTCAAGAACATAAAAGTACCTGGCGTGGCTCCCGTGGAGGAGCATCAAACCTCTACAGAAGTGTGAGGGTAAGAAGGGGATTGGGCTATGGTGACTAATGGGTTAAACCAGTGCTGTCCCTCCACCCTCTGCACGTTTCTGAAAGTAAGCCATAAAGCAACTTTTTTTTGCAAATCTCACATCACAATAACGGAGCAGGCACAGAGGAAGGGAAAAGGGTAGCGTTAGGAGATGTGTTCATTTCTTAAGGTCACTCCAAGCCATCTCATGTTTGTTTGGTTTTAAATCTCTTTATTCTACTGTGAACCTTGAAAGACAAAGCAGGTGTTTCTCCAGTCAGCTTGGGAGGGCTGAGGTGAACAGGCTGGAGGAAGAACGCATAAAGGATACAGTCAAGGCTTTCTTGTTCTCAAATGCCCTAAAGCTTCACAAAGAAACAAGACAATGTCAGTGTAATAATAATGGAGATAAAAAGTAATTCACAACAGTCATTACCCTTAAAATAACTACTGGAACTAAATGAAGGAGGAATGAAGTCATACTGTTCAGGGTCTTTCGTGCTGTTTCCATGGGGAGATTGGTGTGCCTTTGAAGCTCCTCTTTATTTACAGGGAATGCCTACCAGCTCCTATCTCCTTCAGCCTAGGAGCATTGCATGGCAAAATCGTTTTTCCTGCCTTGCAGTTCCACATGTGCCCTTCCAGGTGGGACTTGGTCCCAGCAGAGCTCTCCTGTGGTGTCGTCTAAAGCCTGTGTTGGAATTGCTTCTGTTGTTGCCTGTACGCCATCATGGTTTTTCTCGTTTCATAATCAAATTCATCCTCCACGCAGTCATCTATTTGGACGCGCCAAAGAAAGGAACATTTAATTATCCTTATATTCAGCATGAATAAAAGGTGGGATCGTGCTTCCAGCCCCTTTCCCCCGGATGTCGATCAAAGCAAGCAGTCACCCAACCTCCGCTCCACATGCTAATGCAACATATTTGTTTATGCACTTATTCTTCAACGCATTGTAAATTATCAGGATGTGTAGTGCTACCCTGAAGAACGGAAGACAGCTCTTCGCATCTCATCTCATTGCTGATGCAGAACGGAGGTATTCTCGGATTATCAATAACAAATTTCACAAATTCAATTTTGACTCAAATGGAATGGCAATGAGCAGGGAGAGTGCTGCAAGCAGTGATTTATAACTGACCCCTGAATCAATGAATAGCAAGCTTCATCAGGTCCTTAGTAATGCCTTAGTGTTCTTCTACAGGAAGGAACGTACATGTTGTACTATAGAAAAGTTGCCAAAATTGAAAAAAAAAACCCCTTAAATGCTGATTTATTAGTTTCCTGCACTGCTCTAATGGCTGCTGCAGACCAGCTCTCTCCAACTGCCCAGGCCCTAAATCGTGGGTATGAAATTACGGCAAAGGCCCCTCTGAAAGAAGCAGGGAAAGAAGCGATCCAGGCAGAAAAGCAAAGGTGGCACTATCACAGCCACGCCTGAACAAGAGCTGGAGAAAACTCCGTGGCAGAGAAACGATGCGCATGTGTAAAAAAGAGGTTCCTCCCCTTGAAGCTTAAGGTGCTGACAGACTGTCATGAAATACTGCATCAGTACAGGCTTGGGGCGGACCTGCTGGAGAGCAGCTCTGCAGAGAGGGACCTGGG